ATCGTGCAGCGGTGTTGCTTCGCCTCGGTATCCGTGTAAAGATGTTTGTGAGTTCGGCCATTTGGTAGCCATAGCAGCAGAGGGTTCCTTTGGAGGGTAGGGTGGCTGCCGTGGATTCCGAAAAAGCCAGGAAAGCGATTAGAGTTGCCGATAGACCGAAGTTCTCCATCGATCAAGAAAAAACCCGGGCGGAAATTTCGTCTAAAATCGGGAAATTCTCTGCGGTTGTCGCTAAATGTTTATAGTATTTAAGAAGTATGTTTACGTTTACATTAGTATCAAAAACGAGGTCCGCGGGTTTGCTTTGCTTTTCTACGCGTAAGAAGTATCTTAGTTTCTACGCTGAGGCTTATCCAAGTACCAGATAGTTATTTTCTATGGAATGAGCTTTGGTAGCTTTGTGGTTATCTAGGCGGAGGGTCCGAACCCCAGTAGCTACGTTGGCGTGAGATCTGAAGGCTGGGGGTCTCTTGCCGTGTAGCAGCAGTAACGATAACCGCACTGTTACTGTTTACAGTGTTTATGTACCGGCCCAGAGGAACTGCTTACACCATGCCGTCTGGAGGGCGCTGTGCTTGCTGGCTTAGTGGATCCGCTCGGGATGAGTTCGGTTGATCACGTGTTCAAGTTAACCCCTCTAGCCCCGCTTCCTGTATTCTACAGGATAAAAAGTTTCGTATCCTGTATTCTACAGGATAAGGATAAAGGCAAATTAGGCTCATACTTAAACCAAGTTTCGCTATACAAAATTCAAGTGAGGTTGCCAAATATAAAGTTTGACAGTGCTGTAGCTAACCTCAGCCCAATAATTCCTGGCCAGGATTTTTTCGAGATTTAGAGAGCGCGCCAATTTTCGCGCCATTTGCGATTCGGACGAGTGGAAGGCAGCGCCATGCAGAAGCGAAGAATTCGTCCAGTTACGTGGACGCAACTGTGGACCAGATTAAAGAAGCTAGGGTGGCAATTCGAGCGTCCAAAAGGCCTCGCGACCAACAATCGCTACTTTACACCTGACGGATGGAAGAAACGACCGAACGGAACACATCTTGTCGACTATTTCGACGGAGCTGACGAAGTATGGCAACCCGTGCCAGTTGAGGGTACGAATCGGCGCATACTGTGCATTTCTATTGTTGCTAACCGCTATCATAGTTCTCTATGGCATGCCACCCGCCAAACGACATGCCTCTGCGTTCGCTGAAAGCTCTACTCAGGGTGTCCCTGATACGCCGGCCAAGACACCAGTCAAGGCTCCGGCCAAGTCACCGGCCAAGTCACAGGCCAAGTCACCGGTTAAGTCGCCGACCAAAACGCCAGCCAAGTCGCCGCCGACCAAGGGCCCCTCGAAGTCGTCTGCCAAGGTGTCCTGCAAGCCGCCTGCTAAGTCACCCGCCAAAGCTCCTGCAAAACTGCAGACGCCGAAAAAGAAGCGTGCGCGTAAAGAGGTCGCGGCGTCACCTGTGCCGTCACCACGTCCACTACGTGCGTGTACGGTACGTGCAGCTGACGTAGACATATCTGTTGGTGATGACCGTTTAAGCTCCGGTGACGAGGCCGACTTTCAAGTCGATGATGGCGATGAGTCTGATGTTGAAGGTACTAGTGAAAGCTCGGCGGGTGAAGATGAAGAATTTACGAGCGATGAAGAAGATGCAGTCGACCTCTCCGCTGGAACTCCATTCGATCAGATGAGCAAGGACCAGCTGAGCGAACAGGCGAAGACGGGCTGGACTACCTATTTCGAAGATTCATGTGAGTGCTTTCCTGTATTATACAGGATAACGAGGACCCGCTTACTTCTCTTATCCTGTACTAGCCACTAATGCTTGTATATCATTGAATTGGTAGGTGCGTCTCTTCAACTGCCCTCAGCAGAGCTTATTCGCTGCTCAGCGACACCTACGGAGTTGGCTACAGCACTGGGAAGTAGCTTGGAAGGACTATTTTTCCTGTTCCTGCCGAAGTCAATGTGGGTATCTGTCGCTACTGAATCCAATCGCTACCAGCTTCAGTATCGCACGCAGGCAGCAGACGAAATTATGGCACGACAGCGGCGAATCAAGCTGAGGCGACCTGAGTATAAGATGAAAACAGTACACCAAGTCCAGACTGAACAACGATCATTCAAGCCAATTCAAGCCCATGAGCTGGTACATTTCATCGGTTTACTGTGTGCCCGGACCCTTTGCCCGCACCGTGAGAAGCTGTCAAAGCATTGGGCGGTGGATGCACAAGGCGCGATTCCTAAAGGCACATTTGGGCGCTACATGGCAAGAAAACGATTCTAAGAGATTGTACGATTCTTGCATTTTAGTGACAACAGTCACGCTGACGCTGTCAAGTTCAAAACGTGGAAGATCAAGCCTGTCGCCGACACGATCAACGCAACGTTCAAGTTGGGGATGACGGTGGGACAGCGAATCGCCTTCGACGAAGGAATGATACCGATGAGGAGCAAGTACAACCCCATGCGGCAGTATCTTCGAGGTAAACCCCACCCATGGGGTACCAAGTGCTTCTTGACGTGCGATGCAGACAGCGGGTACTGCTAGAGGTAGAGAATCTCTCATTCTGCCGAAATTTGTATTATACAGGATAAAGAGTAATTATGCTTGTTTCTTATCCTGTATAGGGCCGAGATATACCAAGGGAAGCTCAACAGCGACAGTGCGGACATGAACCAAGGCCCCAACGCTGTGATCCGTAACGTTGAAGAGGTGCTTGAAGGTCTACCAAGAAAGCGTCTGATTATCTCCGACCGTTTCTACTCAAGTGTGCTGCTTTCGTCTATCCTTCTACAGCGTGGACTCTACCATGTCGGCACCATTCAGACCAACCGTCGCGGCTATTGCCAAGAGATCCCGTACAAGCAAGCTAGACGACCAAGGGCAATGGCGAGGGGAGTGTACCGCATTGCCCAGTCAAAGGCTGAGCCGAAGCTGATCGCAGTGTCTTGGATGGACAACCGCCCTGTACACTTCATTGCGACAGGGTGTAGTACACGACCGACAACCCTTTCAAGACGTGCTGGTGCTGAAGTAGTTGACGTGCCAGCTCCTCAGCTCGTGAAAGACTATCAAGATGGCATGGGTGGAGCAGATATTCACGACCAACTGCGCTTGCAAAGATACTCAATTCAGGTATTATTCCTCATCTTCTTATCCTGTACTACACCTGAAGATGTAACGAATGACTGTATCTTATCCTGTATGCTACAGGGAGCGATGAAAATGAAGAAATATTACCACACGATCTTCCTTGGGTTAGTTGACATGGCGCTCATCAACGCATACATCATCTATCGACGTGTTCAAGGCCAAATTGCACCTGGTAAAGCACCTCCGACGCACGCTGAGATTCAACGGCTGATGCAGACGGCACTGCTCAACATTGGACCAACGGACTTTGCAGGAGACTTGTCAGTAGAAGCACTAGCAGACACCCCGGTTTCCCGCTCGTCAGCCCCACGGTATATGCTACCTGCACAACACACAACCAAGCAGGTGAACGCATTTCGTACAACGCGTGGGAAGAGCGGAAAGGTCTCACAGAAGCGTCGGCAGTACGGCTGCAAGGTGTGTTCTTTGTTGCGTCCGGGAAAGAACCCATGGGAAACCACGTTTTACTGTGTGGAGTGCTCGGAAGTGAGGACGCGGGGCGTAGATGGTGCCAATGGCAGAGGGAAGGTGTATCTCTGCCAAAAAGTGCGGCAGCATGATCACAGTGGACCGACAAACTCGGCAACCTGTAGCCAGATATGGCACGATCTCTGGCGGGGCGGTGCGAGTATTCCTGCTGATCTCAAGGCTATTAGGTTGCGTGCTCCTTCGAGAGCAGTAGCGCAATGCTCAGCTGATGAGGAGGGAGGAGATAGCTGTTGTGATGACGGTGCCAGTGTCGCATCGAGCAGTGCACGTAGCGGAACGAGTTCTGTGAGTAGAGGAAGCTCTGAGGAGGCTGTTGGCGAAGTAGTTGAGACAGCAATGATCTAATCAATTCAATGGACATTCAAATTTGGAATGAATGCGAAGTACTAGTGAGTGATGGTTTTTGTCGATTTTTAGAAAAATTTTGACTAGTCGTTTTGTCAGATACAGGATACTGCTCCATATGTTTGAACCTCCAATTTTGCTCTTAACCTGTACTGCACAGAGTAGATAACAGGCAGGGATTGTGAGCTTGAAAAAACTCCGCAAATAATAAACCCAAGTCAAATTCTTACCCTGTATAATACAGGTTAATTTCCGCCCAAAAATGCGGGGCTAGAGGGGTTAAGAGTAAAAGTCGCCGCTGAGGTTGTTCGCGCTCTTGAGGAGGGCCTGATAGTTGATGATTTGAGAAAATATTTTTTTACCGTTGGAGATTTGGTGGCAATGCCCAACCAGTATCTGGAGTATTCTGGGGTATTGCGGCTTAGATTTGTTTTACCAGACTGACAGTAAACAGCTAGTCTAAACCACGCTTTTCGCACGCTGCGCAACTATGCACTACCAATCCTCGAAAAATCCTAAAAGGAATTTAACTTTATCATCGTTTGTTTGATATACCTTTTCTTCAGCGTTTATAAGAAAAATACTCGAAGAAAGTACTTGTTTTTATGTATTTTACAGGTGTACGCTGGGATGGCCGAAACATAGCTTTTAAATTTGGTTGCAACAAAGTCGTGCTTTGCCCGATGAAGCTCTGAAATTTAGCAAACCTACGGAGGATACCTGACGACGCATCTCCTGCGCCTGCTTCGCAGCCGCAGCATCTGCTAGTTGCTTTTATCACCCTTTCCTAGCCACTGACGCAGCGGCAGTCAAGTTGAATGTATCATAGTGAAGAGGCTGTTACATGCACCGATGCGGGAGTAGAGTAGGTTTTATATTTATATTTCTATCAATGAAGCTTATGAGCCTGTCACCTTCTTGCAACCTTGCGTAATATTATTAGTACTCGGTCCGGACGACACAGGTAACATTCAGCTAATTTATCAGTTTCACATCAACATCAAAGATCAGAGGTTTATATTACTTATAGTATTTATGCCTATATTTCTAATCGGCATCGCTTTAGACAGGACTTTAATAGCTGACAGAATAATACCTCGAATCGGATCCCTTCTTAACTCTGAAATCTAAAAGAAATAAATTTCAGAGAACAGAAACTCTTCAAAAGATAAAACGAATGAAGTGCACGGCCTTAAAGTTAATCGGCTGCTACCAGTCTGCTATCAGGTGTGACATGGGCACGGTCAAACACGCGAGCTAAGTCCTCCAAGTTATCAAACAACTGCATCATCGGTGTCAGCATGTCTACCGAGTACTGCATACTGGACACACGACCCTTTTCCGCATCCCAGATAAAGCTGACAACTCCATGCATCACCATGCGCTGACCCAGCAATCTAGCCCCTAGTCGTGTCCACTGCCCGTTTTCGAACAAGTGAGGGAATCCATGGCGCAATGCCTTTTCACTCATGGTCGTAGCACTCCTAACCGTGGCAATGAGATTATCATCAGGTCCGACATCAAGGCGCACAAGCTCGATTTCCATATCTTCATGGTACATCGACAGTTGCCTCCAGTCCTCTAGTAAACTCGGCACGCCAAAACCAGTATCCCCTGCCACATTCTCACACATTGTTGCGATGAAGAAATCCCGCTGCACGAATGTCTCACGTCGCTGAAGAGATACATTCTGGGATCCCACGTTGGAAGGATGCAGTGTGGCCATAGGCCCCTTGTACCCGTTCTTAAAAAGACGGAAGTACTCGGCCGCGACGCTCCAGACTGTCATGTTGGTCGACACGCCGGCCGAAATGACCTCCTTCTGGAGTTTAAGGTGCTGGATTTCGTCTCGAAGCTGGCGAATTCCAATTTCAAGGTCCAGTACTTTCTTCTGCTGCTTCATCTTGTGCTTGGCCTGGTGCATCCGGTTGCGTTGACGACAAAGCTCAATCTCAGCAGCAACACGCTTCATCTCGGCCTCGTTCATCGGGAAATGTCTCGTGTCGTCGACCTGGTGCATGGAGCTGCTGCCACTAGCCGCGACGGCGAAGAGGTCCAGTGACTGTGGCTTGGTGCGTTGCACGACCTGACGGACGATGCCTTCACTTAGCCGCTGGCGGTTTGGCGGGAAGAGAATGTTGCCATCCATTGACATGCAGGGGGTTGTTGTTCTCGGTGGCGAATTCTAAAGTGAGACCATAAGTCACTCCTATGCTAGAGTGATACATACGTATGTAGAGCGATGCAATCATGATTTAGTTATCGATCTGTCTTTCCCCCTCAAGCCAGTGAATTCCACTGTGGAAGACAAGAACATTCAAGGCCCTCCAGCTGTTCCATTGGCCAATCTGACTGCTATTATACCTTCGGTAAGATCCTTAGGATCGAGCATCAACTTAGATTACGTGCTGTGCTATCCATGGCTGGTCCCCAGGCGTTCTCGCTCGTCATCTTGTATGGCAAGTGGTAAAGGATGGTGTCGGGTACTGTAGACGTCATTCTTGAATGAATTGTGGGCTGGCGAGACTCTTCGATTAGCTTAGTCTTTTTCACTAAGACCCTGGATGGCAGATAGGCCTGCTGACCAAGAACCAATCGCACTGTCTGACAGTGCGATGTCTGTCTAAGCCGCTGGTACTGTATACCCCTAGGATAAAACTGTGAATACCAGCACTGTACGTGGTTGCATTCGTTAGCCTGAGTCCACTCACACTGCTAATCTCGATAACAATTGACTTAGTTCCATCCGTTAAACTAAGCATTCACCGCTAACAGCTTATAGGAGGCACACCGAGCAGACATTTAGCCCAAGTCTTGGCAGGGACGCAGTAAAACGGCAATTCGTTTTCGTTACAGTTTGTACAGAATTCTGTTCATCATGTAATCGTCAGGGACGAAAGCACGTTGCGATCAGCATTTGCGAAAGCTTCAACTTATCCAGTATGCGCCTTGATATTAGCACGTTGTCTCTGTTGGCGCGCACAACTGATTGTTGCAAACCACGTCGCGTCATCACTTTGTGTTTAGTTTTGACTGCACGAAATGTAGCGGCAGCAGCCTTTTAAAGAGAAGCTCTAGCCATCGCTGTTTAGAATTATGGCACTCCTGTCGATGATCACTTAATTACGTAGAGCACATGGCAACTGTAGCAAGTTTTTTTTTCGTAAATCCTTCGACAACCCGTCGAGTCGACATCATGCTAATCGATCCGTGAGACGCTGCCTTCGAGCTCCAAAAATGCACCTGTAATACAGTAGCGCAATATGTGTGTTACGTACTGGAGCTCCCATATTCGAAATGCTACTGGATCGACCGTTGTTGGGGCAGTTTATTTTTAGTCATGAATAGGTAAATCATGGTAGAGTCGACTGTATGTAATGAGTATCCTTCACATATTTACAGTGTAGGCTTACAATGCATGTACAAAATCCACCAGCGTCGCTTGTGCGCTGGTTTGATTGCAAGCAAGTTGATGTCAGTACTCGCAATTCGACCACAACTGCCAACACTGTACAACAAGTTCTGTGGCCCATCACTGCAATCGCTTCACGCGAAATGGCGGCATAGGTGTCATCAACCTGCGCGAAAGGAACGCGATCGAGTCTGCTTTATATAGGATTTGCAGAAAAAATCGCAATACTGAGGTAGAACATATTTTAAAGTGACTCCAGGACCATGACTGTTCTGGGTAACGTCTCCAAAAGTAGCCCACGTTCGACTTGGACGAAACAGGAAGCTGTCGCTCATGGTGGCCTCGATGATGGGAGCGTCGCCGATGATAAAGTGCAGTAGTATGGACTGCGCTCTGTATCACAATGATCTGAGTGAGCAAAATGCAAACGTTGGATGAGTCCAAAGAGCCAGTTAGAAATGGATAACACGTGGGGTGAGCGATCATGGATTTGACGTGATCGAATTACAGATTTGCGCGGTTTGGGTTGGACTATATTGACGCCCTCTCATTGGCCATTTCTGATAGTCCGACCAAATTTTGTACTTTGGGTTGGGGGCGACTTACATAATTTTTCCATTGTGTGTAGGAGGGTTCTTTAGAAGACCATTCCAAACAAAAGACCGTTAAAAAAACTATGCCGTGCTGTCCAGCCTTTTACGGCCTTGACGAGACAGCTACCAGTTCTTCGCCGATACCGCAGCCTACCATGCCATCATACCCGCATTCAATCATGACTCCATTAGCCATGGACATCCATTCAGACACAAGTGACGGTAGTGTAGAGCAAACGCAATTGGTCCCCTTGTCTTTCAACTCCAGAAACCTCTCCGGTCAAAAACGTCCGCTGCATGATGCGTCTACATCGACAGTGACTCGTGTCAACACACAACACAGAGACACCTCCCCGGGCTGCTCACATACAAAGAGCGGCCTAAACAAGACCGAGCTCCGCCGAGAACGCAATCGAATACACCAGGCCGCCTGGCAGGCGCGGTACAAGATGAAGCAGCACAAGCTTGTGACTGATCTCGAAAAACGTATCGAATATTTGATAACAGAAATCCAGGAGCTTAAACTGCAGCGCCGACTAATTCACTGTGGGATCCCGATCAACAGGAATCTTTGGGGCACGGCGACTGAGTTCTTTCGGCTTTTTCGGTCCAGCGTACGACCACCCTTACCGACTGGGGACTCGACAGGAACGCAGAGCGAATACATCATGCAGCAGAACTTTCTACGAGCGACGATGGCGGCGGATGTTACAGATGGTAGAGTCTGTGGGGTGGACGCGCTGCTGCAGACTTGGGCGCTGCAGTCTCTGTGCTACGAGAGGATTGATCTGCAGCCAGTTCGCTTGGAAAATGGTCCACGTGATTCTCTGGTGGCCATAACCAAAGGTTATTTGGTGATCAATGAAAACACCCTGTGCTATGCATTTCCACACCTTGTGAGCGACAGTCGATGGTCAACCATTGCCGCAAGAATGCTCGGTCAGCAACTCACCCTTCGCGGTTCCGTGCACTTTGAATGGGATAGCGTCAACAGTCGAGTGACCAGTATCGTGTGCAAGGCCGACATACTGACACCGCTGCTTCATCTTTTCGGGAACTTGGACGAGGTTTCTTGCGTATTTGAGAATGCTCGATTGACTCCAGACGGTAGACTGGTTGTAAGTGAATCTATTCGAGTGTCTTAATCATTGTTGTACTGTACAAGTATCAAACGTATGAATTGCTCGTGAAGATTATACTGCCCTAGCGATTCAATAATAGTGTGCATGACGAAGCAGGTTCAACTACGCGGTTTGCAGTCCAATAGTTCTACAATTTCCGCGTGTATTGTGGTCTTTTTCTTTGCCCATATTTTGGAGGTAGCTGCACTGAGACAAACAGAACACAATGTCAGGTCCAGGGACTATTCCTACACCCATGAACAGCTCGATAGTCTTGGTATTATCAGGTTTCAAAGAGGAATAGCTCATACGCTTCGATTTAAAATGCGAAAGGCAGGGCTGGACGAGATCTGCGATGAAGAAAGCTGCATGCCGGACTTTCCGACGTAGACTATTCTGAACGCTGGTATGAAAGGGTGACGAGATGTTTGTGATCAACGTCAAAATCTAGAGTTGTTGTCTTTGTGTAACCGGTTAGTTGTGATCAATTTCAGAGTGGCCATCAGTACGTGTAGTTGATGAAACACCAAGTATTCGGCCAAAGACGGCATCGTATTTCGGAAGATGCCATGCCAACCCAACACAACGATGACGATACCTTATCGACGGGGTACATCGACAAACGCAAAAGCAATTGATTCTTGATACATGCAGCCGCGAGCTTTATTGGCTGTGACGAGCATTAACGCGTTCGTTTACGGTGCGGTTAAAATTGATGAACACCTTTAATAGTCAAATCCATGGCTTGTATCTGTAGATAATTGAACAGCTCACCTCTGGCGCGCGATGTTTCAAAATGAAGTAGTCTGTCATTTCAAAACTTTCGCTTCCACTCCAAATTAAGACTGTGTGAAGTCGCAATGGCCTACAGCATTCTGTAACCCCACCACCACCACCAATATAAATCAAATGGTGTTACAGTGTAATTGGTGACGTTGTAGAGCGGGCAAGATCACCTAACAACACCATTGTTGATGTTTGCGCAGTGTCTCTTAATCCAACACTCCCGGTGGCCTGTTTGGTTGACCAGAAATGCTCAAATATCGCTTCAAGCCGTACCAATCAGATTTCTTTTACTGCAATTGGCCTCAAAAGAGTTTCAAAGCAGAAAAGGGAAGTCAAACGTGAGTGCACGGTGACCAATCAGATCCCAAGACTAGCTTTGATGACTGTGATGGCTTTGATGAAGGCTTCAAAGTGCAATGGTGGAGCTTCCTATCAGTGATCACACTTCAAAGAACCGTCAAGTTGACGATCAACGACGTAAGGATCAGCCCAAATGGTCCACTGCATTGAACGAGATCCGGGAAAATCGACGTAGATCAGATCAAGACATATAACAAACATCAGTTAATAAACGTAGCATCGTAGTCTAGTGAGAGCACTACTCCTTACAGCTATGGTAGCAGCACCTTCGACACACGCACGCTGAATGTCCTTCTCCATGTTGTGCTAGCACGCGAACCTGGTCGAAGCAGGGCTTGGATTGTTCTGCGATGACGATTTTGCGTTGTGTGACGACATCGGGCTCTATGGTACCGGTGTTGAGTTTTGTGTTTAACGGCTCCAAAAGACACACACCACTTCTTTTAATTACTGTACGATCACAAGATTGTCACACAAATTCTTGCTACATATAAATAATTATCCTGTCGTCTCCTATTATTAATAATATTTTTTTCTTCGGCAACAGATGAATCACCTAGTGTTATGTTCTTATCCTTCCTCAGACTGATGAAGTGGCAAGAGAGACAAGTCACGCTTTTATCTCTATCTGATAAAGTTGTAGCCTTTTCAATCTTACCAGGTTAAGCTGACGATGCCCGAAATGCTATCTTGTATACCGTACCTCACAAAATAAATGCTTTGGCACATTTCCAAACTGCTGTCGTCTTAACGTTAAAACACCCGAATATTTCGTGAAACTGCTCTTTGTGTGTTAAGATTTGGTAGCAAAAAAAAAAAACTCGCATTGGTCAAAAATCAACCAGAAAGATAGAAATCGCTTCTTTATCAAACTTAAGAGATCGGTTTGCATATAGATAACAATTCGGATTTGTGCTTGAGCACGGTTTATCTGTGTTCGAGCTTCTTGTACTCTCAGCCACCGCTCGTTCGACTTGCTCTGGGGCAAAACCTTCTCCATGAAGACGAGAGGGTTACTTGGCAAATGCTTAGGCGGTTGTAAGTTGTCTCTCTTTTATCTTAGCCTAAATAAAATGTTGTTTCAAAGATGTGAAATCTGCTTTTTTGTGTTAAAAAATCTTCCAAACAGAAAAAACGCGAAAAACGCCGAACTGCTGTTTTACTGTGGTAAGCATGGTAGCTTCCCGTGAAGAACAAGTCAAGGCAAGCACGATCACGTCAAATCCTTGTCTGTGATCCAGAATCGAGTGATCGCCATGCGAGGAGTGACAGAGCATTTAGTATCTCCCCCTCCCCTCACGCACAGTTTCGCCTCACCTTCTGTTCGGACCACTCTCTCTCCTCGAAATTCCACGACAACGTCATTCAATCTCAGCGCTTCAAACCTTCCACTCTCCAAAGGAGAAATCGACGCACACACCGACACTGATCAAGCTTTTCCTGGCCACCCCTCCCTCGAAGCTCTTCTCATGGTGAGATCAAAGTTACTCGACGGCGGCAATGTGGCAGCACCGATGGCTTATGTTGAGAATCCATCACAAGCAACCAGACTCGCTGGCCACAAGCGTCTCCCGTCGCTTGCATGGTGTGTTGGGTCGGCCGCTGTAACTGAGGAGGATCGAGCACAAGCTGCAGCGCAAGTGGAGGAAACCTCCGCAAGGTCACAAGACGCGATTGATATTGAGCTGCGACGAGAACGCAATCGGGCTCATCAAGCTCGTTACAAGATGAAACAGCTCAACAAAATGGCAAGTCTCGAGGACAGCGTTCAGGTCCTGAAGAAAGAGATTCAGGATCTCAATATTCAGCGCCAAGTCATCTCCTTCCGCGCATCTGCTAGCCACACCAGGTGGGGGGTCACAGCAGAGTATTTCCGCCTCTTTCGGAACGGCCTAAAAGCTTCTCTCGAAATGGAGAGGCCTTCAACGTCGGAGATTGTCGTTCCTGTTGTATCTCAAGTACAGCGTGACTTCCTGCAAACTGCGATGGCACCAGACGTAGTCGGCGTCATTGATTACGGTGTGGAAGCTCTACTTCACAACTGGAAGCTAATTACGCTATGTACACCAGATATTGACATCCAACTGGTGCGTTTAGAAGATGGCCCCGGCGACTCGATCGTTGCTATCACAAAAGGCTCGTATACAATCACTGAGGATACCCTACGCTTCGCATTTCCACACCTGGTCAACGGTAATGAAGTCGATGCGTGGCTAGCGTCCAGGTTGTTTGGTCAAAGACTCGTCACTACTGGATGTACAAAAATTCTTTGGGACGAAGAAGCTGGACGCGTGGCCAGCATCCAATATACTGCGGATATTCTCATGCCGATGCTCCAGTTGCTAGGGAATCTCGAGGACGTGTCCCGCGTGTTTTCTTCTAGTGCACGATTGAATACTGAGAGCAGATTCGTGCTGTCGTGATAGTGTCTTTGATAAGCTCGCGCTGTTGGGTTTTTTCTTTTACTGCGCGTCAAGAACCAGTTGTCCTTTAAAGAATGTTCATTTACTTCGAAGTATACTTACTATTTTTGATTTGTCACCAGTTTGCCGAAAATCGAGTCAATTAATAGTACGGGCTTTGTGATGAAGAAAGTTTGCTGGTTGGTTTCAACAACAATGATTGCGCAGAATAGAATTCAGAGAGCGATGGCAAGTAACTTCACCATATTCGACTGCTTTGTCGATGTTAGCAATGTTAATATCGACAAGACATCAAGGATCCCAAAACCGATGAAAACAATATAGTTATTCTCCAAAAGGTACATGAAGCAAAATAACTTGCTCAATTCTATCTAGAAATACAACAGCACATAAGTCAGTTTCTGACAAGCCTTTACTAATTCATAGGACGCGACATTCATACACTCGTCAATCCTTTCAATCCATTGGCACCCGGCACTGTAGTACATTTACAAACTATTTACTGTTTATTGCACCTACCGCAATTAATGTTAGTCTGTATGCACCATCCTGTAAAAATTGTCTCATGCGATCGTAGCAAGACTAGGAGTACATAGTAACATATCAGCGGGTCTCGTGGCGCAGGCGAGATAGTAACAGTGCGCGAGTTCAAAACTCATACAAAAATTATGTTTATGGGATACGTATTTGTTAAAGTAATTGTGAAACATTAAAAAAAAAATAAAACGCTACAAAATTGTATCGATGATAGTAAGAGTGATTACCAGTACCACGATTGCACGCGGATGGCAACACCTTTGGATATAACTGGTATCCGATTTTTTTTAATCGACAACTGCTAAATAACTGCGCGTGCTGTCCTGTTTTATGAAAACGAATCCAAGTCGTACAGTGTATTCCACTAACCAAGGTCGTCATTATTTTGAGCTGTTTATTAAAAAAAAAAAAATGCTAAGTTCCGTGTACAAATAGACTTGTACTCTACCTAGATTCTAAGTTGAGTTTTTTTTAGAAGTTTTAGCTGGCTAGAGAGCTAATCAATGTAATTCCTGCGGTCGGGGGCTTATTCGCGAATGTCGCCTGAGTTTTACTCCACGTATTATGCCTAACCGAACACAAATTAGCCAGTGACTGGTGATCTTTGCGTAGTCACACGGGACTTGCTCAGGTGGCATTTTGGATAATCTCTGGCCGTAGAAAAGTGCAGCTTGGAGAGAACGCCGCGTGTCGAAAGGCATAAACTGGTTGGCTTTTAGCTTAGCAATTCTTTTGTTCGTCGCATGCATGTACGACACATTGCTTCTTTGCAAAGAATCGCCTCTACCTGTAGTTGTTTTAGTGTCTGTATTTTATCATACTCTTAAAAAAAAGCTCTAGGCTCTGAGAACAGCCACGGCAAGCAAATCTGATGAACAAGGTTCAGTGCACGCGTGTACCTGACCTCCAGATCATTCACCTCTGAAACTAACAACAACGTAGTATGATGTACATGCCCAGCAGCAAGATCCGTACCTGCATTTTCCACTCATACAGATCCAGCTGTTTCTCTTGCAAATTCAAGTGTTGGTGCGGATACGACGTGGTTTATGTTACACAAGTACAGTACTGCACCCCGTTTTCGCGCTCTCGGACCTTTAATAAACTTCCAGATATAATGATCCTTCAGCGAAATATCTTCGGGTTTCTCAGCTGAAACCTGCAAATCCTAGATGGTTCATCCTCCCTGAAAACGAGGTGCATTACTGTATAATACTTAGTACTT